GCCCCTGCAATCATTAGCCCTAGGGCTTCCAGCTGTGACCAGAAAAGAGGTGGGATTTGCCCATTCCAATCTGGCCCAACGGGCAGAAAAAGGACGGGCTTTGGACCTCCCCCAGACTCAATAATTTGTGGTCTGCAGCAGCCCTCTCTATAAAGCTTTTTTTTTTTTTTCAGAACCGAGGATTTAACTCAGGCCCTTGCGCTTGCCAGGGAAGCGCTTATTCCACTGAGCTATCTCCCCGGCCCCTGGACTTTTTTTTTTTTTTTTTTGCAGAACCACAGATTGAACTCAGGACCTTGCGCTTGACAGGGAAGGGCTTATTCCACTGAGCCATCTCCCCAGCCCCTGGACTTTTTTTTTTTTTCTTTGGCGGAATCGGGTATTGAACTCAGGCCCTTGTGCTTGTCAGGCAAGCGCTTATTCCACTGAGCCACCTCCCCGGCCCCTGGACTTTTCTTTATGGTCAGTTTTGTATTACATTTTGTATTTCATTGGCTGTTATTGGGCTACTGGTTCTTGAGAATTCTTATATCTTCTTGTTTCAGTTTTGGTAATTTGTACCTTTCTAGAAATCTGTCCATTTCTTCTGTGCCTTCTATTCTGTGAGAGTAGAGATTCTAAAAGCAGCTATTGATGATCTGCATTTCTACTGAGTCTGTGGTAATTTCACCCTTTTCATTCCTTATTGCTTGTATTTGAGTTTTTTGTTTCCTCTTTTTGATGAGGTTAGCTAAGGGCTTATCAATTTTATTTAATCTTTCAAAGAACCAACTTTTTGATTCATTAATTCTTTGAATTGTTTTCTTCATCTCGATTGAATTAATTTCTGCTCTAATCTTTATAATTTCCTCCCATCTTTGGGCTTTGGGTTTGGTTTGCTCTTCCTTTTCTAGACATTTCAGGTGCAGCATGAGGATATTTATTTGTTCCAGTTCTGTTTTCCTAATATGTGAGTTCACAGCTATAAATTTCCCTCTAAGAACTGCTTTCATTGCATCCCATAAATTCTGATAAGTTGTGCTTGAATTTTCATTGAATTGTAGATATTATTTAATTTCTTGTTTAATTTAATAGTAATGCATTGGTTGCTGAGGAGGGTGATGTTTAATTTGCATGTGTTTATGGGGATTTTTTGTGGTTTCTTTCATCATTTATTTCCAGTTTCATTGCATTGTGGTCAGATAATATGCACGGGATAATCTCTGTTTTCTTGCATAGATTTAAGCATGACCTATGGACTAGTATGTGGTCTACTTTAGAATATTTCCCATGTGCAGCTGAAAAAAATGTGTATTCAGCTGCGGTTGGGTGGAAAACTCTGTATATGTCCACTAAGTCCATTTGTTCCAAGTTCTGCTACTTTGCTAATTTTTTGTCTGTTTTACCTATCTTTTTGGGATAAGGGAGTGTTAAGGTCTCCTGTTAAGATTGTGGCATTGGATATTAGATTTTTCATATAGATTAAGATTTGTCTTATATAGTTGGGTGCTCCCATGTTTGGTGCACGCATATTTATGAGTGTTACCTCTTCCTCTTGAATTTTTCCCCTAACCAGTATGTAGTGGCCTTCTTTATTTCATTTGATCATTCTTGGTTTGAAATAGAGACTGTCTGAGAACAGGATTGCTACCCCTGCTTTTTTCTGAGGTTCTGGGGCATGTAGTATTGTTTTCCATCCTTTGACTTTCAGCCTATTGTAGAGATATAGATTTGAGACAAAAGCCTGATGTCCCAAGAGAGCAGGAAACACTGGACTGAGCCCGAGGAGGGTTGCTGTCTGTTTACAATTCCCAGAAAGCTGGGACCCAAGGCAGCAGATAACAGCTTCTCCTGCAGGCTCCCTGTCCTTTGATCCCTTGCTTGGGATGTTATAGGCTAGCATTTGTGTGAACCTAGTGTTCAGCAAATGGTGGAAGTTAATAGAGATAGTAGTTTGTATTCACTTAGGTAATTATTATGCACATTCCTTAGTCTGCCTTCACCCCTCAATAAATGTGAGATGCTTCTGAGGCTCTGGGCTCACTTGGAAAGAGACTAATCTCAGTGAGACCTCTGAAGCTACATTCATCAGGTCTTCTCGTCATTTCTTTCGGCACCGACCCATAACATACAACAGCCTATGAATCTCTTTATGAGTTAAGTGTGTTTCTTGCATATAGCATATTATTGGATTTTGCTTCCTGGTCCACTGTGCCAGTCTATTTCTTTTAATTGGTGAATTGAGTCCATTTACATTGATGGTTATAATTGAGATGTATTGATTTATGACTGACATGTTATTTGCCTGCTGTTGTTTACCCCTTTTTCTCCTGTGTTTAATTGTTTAACCCACCCTATTTGGTGGGTTCTTTCCATTCTCATTCATGGAGTTCTGGTTATTTTGGTCCCCTTCAGAATATCTTTTAGTAGTCTGTGTAGGGTTGGCTTTGTCATCATGAAATTCTTTAGTTGTTCTTTGTCATGGAAGTATTTCACTTCTCTATCAAACTTGAAAGAGAGTTTTGCAGGTTATAGTAGTCTGGGCTGGAATTTGTTTTCGTAGAGGACTTGAAGTAAGCTGCTCCATGCTCTTCTTTTAATTTTTATTTGTGTGTGTGTGTGGCCAGCTCAGCTCACCAGGGGGCAGGGCT